CAGATTTAAATGTATTAAATGTATTTATCTACGATATTATATTGTTAACACTTCACACTAAAATACAGGTGCTAGTAACTATAATATATTACCTATGTTCAATGTTATGTAATTATATTCTAATTATTGTAATTGTAATTATATTGTAAAGTCAACTGAAGTTAGAATAATATTATTGAAATTATAATGTTATTAAATATAAACCTAAGCCATCTAAAAAATCATGTATTACCTACATTTATTGTTATGTAATTTTATTATATTCTAAAATAAAGTGAAGTTTGAATAATTTTATTGTAATTATGATGTTATTAAATAAATCTAAGCCATCTTAACAAATAACAGTTGACCTAACCTATATGGGGCATGGTTGAGTATTTGATATTAGGTATTATATTTAGGTGATATTACTAGATATAATACTAATAAGTAATAATACTATGATATTTTAGTTAGTTCAGTCGTACAGCCGTAATTATATAAATATATAACATAATAATTTACAAATATTATAAGCCATAGGTACTTTACCTTCATATATTCTTCTTTCAGCACTTCAAAAATGGCTTTGCATGTTTCAGGAATTAGTACACTTAATGATGGAGCAGAAATTCCTGAACTGAATTTTAGGTCCTCAAAAGATCTTCCAGTTGCCAGAAACCTTGACATTTATAATTTTTTATTATTAAAATAAATTACAAGTAATGACTTAAATGCTAAAATCCTAAATATATTTACCTAAGTGTTGCTGTGAGACGTTCTTCTACACAGTGGCGTGCAGAACATTTTTCAGACCTGAGGCAAACTATACAATTTGACCACCCACCCTAGTCCCTACCACGATCAGGTTTTTCGCTATTTTTATTTTTATTTTTTTCATAAAAAATTATAAATATTATTAAGTTTTAAGGTATAATACAAAATAGGACACATACTTAATTTWAAAAAATATCAACCATTATMTAAGATTATAAAAATGWTTTTATTTAAATAATAAAGCTTTCTTTAATAAATCAGATGATTTTCCAAAAATATTTAGGACTTCATTTATATCAATGGAAATATATTTTTCGCAGCTTATCAACATCAGGCTTTCTAACCTTTCCTGTTGCATTGTGGACCGCAGTCTTGTTTTYATCAATTTGACCTGAATGAATAAATTTATACAGATAATTTAATATTATATTTATGTACATAATTGGTTATTACATATTGTATAATAATATTATAGATTATACTCGTATATCTAAAAAAGTGAATAAAGAGTTCAAGTTTCTTTTATTTTATTCTAAAATTTGTCATCTGGGGAAAGTATTACCTTTGAAAAAGAACGTTCAGCTGATGCAGACGATGCTGGTGCTTTAAAAGCTTGATATAAGTTTGGAAAAGCAGCCACTAAAGTGTAATTAGAAAGTACATGAAGAATGGTCTCAATATTAATTACATTTTCTGTTCCTTCGCCAAAAGAAATGTCATTAATTTCTTCATCATCGTCATCACTGCTAATGTTTGCATTAAGTAGCTCAYTGTAATTGGACTTATTATTATCCTCATGTAACTTAGTAGTCAAGTTTAATCCAGTTAGTAACTCACTTAAACTACTACTAAATTGAATATATTCTAATCTTAAACTTGCTGTATCAATACCTTTTACCCAATTAGAAATATAATTAAAACAATCTACTGGAAGTGGCTTTTTTTCTTTAGAAAATGTTAATAATCTTTCAGGTGATAAAAGACATAAGTCCTTTAAAATGTCTCTTGCATCAGAGAATAACTTTTTTATTAAAAAAAAAAAACATAATAATCTAATATACCTAAATAAGTAATTGAGRCAATTTAGATGTCATAATTAATAATTTACAGTTACCTTTTTTTGGAGAATCCTGTTCTTCATAAATCTTGCGTTTTTTAGTAAAAAAACTAGACACATCGTTTACAACRTTAGATTTTTTTAATTTGGCAATACTACAAGAAGTTAAATGTCTTCTCCAATTGGTGTCATTCAAATTTAATCTTTTTTTACCACATAAACAATTAATATTAGTGGACTTTGTTTTAAATTTAATATTGAAGTTTTCAACATAATGTCACAAGACACAAGACACAAAAACATATTTTGACGACAAGAAAATAAAACAAATAAGTTGTATACGACAACAACATCGACGACGACG